TTACTAAACACCACTTATATTTTCCCCCTTTTTTTAAATTTTGTTATTTATACTTTATGTTTGTAATCATATTTTTTTTATAGATTTAGTAAATTATTGTAATGTCATTAATGTTAATGGTTGTAATTATTACTCTGTATTTTTAGGTTTATGTTGGTCCCGATATCGAAAGGTAAGAGTCTAGAGAGGGGGGCCGGGGGGTGGGGTGAATAGACTCTTAAGCGATTTTAAAATTTTAATACCATAGATGTATATGCAGCGGAAAATATGTGTTCTTGTTAGTTTTCTTGCACTTTTAGTTTGAAAGATGTTGCTTAGGTTTGATATGAATGCAATGCAATACTGATAAGTCATAATAAATAAGAGAGGTAGAGAGAGAGAGATTTTATAGTGGTTCGGTTGTTAACGAAGCCTACGTCACTCTTCTTTCACAACTCACGAAAGGGTTTGTACTATCACTCCTTAGTACAAACTAAACCAAGCTAGCTTCCTTGATTACTAAGCCGGATAACAACTTGCTAAGGTTTTTCAACTCCTTCTGAGTTTACTCCGCATCTATCAACTTCTTAAGAGTTGAGTGTTGGAAAATATTGATGGAATCTCCAACTTGAAATCTTGACTTAATGGAGCTTGATCTTCGTATCAACTTGTGCAAGATTTCTCTTTGGTGTGAAGACTTAAGAGCTAGATCGTCTTTTTTAAAGAGTCTTCACAAACACACATTGGTTGCAAAATAACTTGTAGCTTTGAGAGAGTTTGAAAGCTTTCCAATAACAATAGAGTGATAACCATAGAGTTATATGCAGCGGAAAATATGTGTTCTTGTTAGTTTTCTTGCACTTTTAGTTTGAAAGATGTTGCTTAGGTTTGATATGAATGCAATGCAATACTAATAAGTAATAATAAATAAGAGAGGTAGAGAGAGAGAGAGATTTTATAGTGGTTCGGTTGTTAACGGAGCCTGCGTCACTCTTCTTTCACAACTCACGGAAGGGTTTGTACTATCACTCCTTAGTACAAACTAAACCAAGCTAGCTTCCTTGATCACTAAGCCGGATAACAACTTGCTAAGGTTTTTCAACTCCTTTTGAGTTTACTCCGCATCTATCAACTTCTTAAGAGTTGAGTGTTGGAAAATATTAATGGAATCTCCAACTTGAAATCTTGACTTAATGGAGCTTGATCTTCGTATCAACTTGTGCAAGATTTCTCTTTGGTGTGAAGACTTAAGAGCTAGATCGTCTTTTTTAAAGAGTCTTCACAAACACACATTGGTTGCAAAATAACTTGTAGCTTTGAGAGAGTTTGAAAGCTTTCCAATAGCAATAGAGTGATAACCATAGAGTTATATGCAGCGGAAAATATGTGTTCTTGTTAGTTTTCTTGCACTTTTAGTTTGAAAGATGTTGCTTAGGTTTGATATGAATGCAATGCAATACTAATAAGTAATAATAAATAAGAGAGGTAGAGAGAGAGAGAGATTTTATAGTGGTTCGGTTGTTAACGAAGCCTACGTCACTCTTCTTTCACAACTCACGAAAGGGTTTGTACTATCACTCCTTAGTACAAACTAAACCAAGCTAGCTTCCTTGATCACTAAGGCGGATAACAACTTGCTAAGGTTTTTCAACTCCTTCTGAGTTTACTCCGCATCTATCAACTTCTTAAGAGTTGACTGTTGGAAAATATTGATGGAATCTCCAACTTGAAATCTTGACTTAATGGAGCTTGATCTTCGTATCAACTTGTGCAAGATTCCGCTTTGGTGTGAAGACTTAAGAGCTAGATCGTCTTTTTTAAAGAGTCTTCACAAACACACATTGGTTGCAAAATAACTTGTAGCTTTGAGAGAGTTTGAAAGCTTTTCAATAGCAATAGAGTGATAACCATAGAGTTATATGCAGCGGAAAATATGTGTTCTTGTTAGTTTTCTTGCACTTTTAGTTTGAAAGATGTTGCTTAGGTTTGATATGAATGCAATGCAATACTAATAAGTAATAATAAATAAGAGAGGTAGAGAGAGAGAGAGAGATTTTATAGTGGTTCGGTTGTTAACGAAGCCTACGTCACTCTTCTTTCACAACTCACGAAAGGGTTTGTACTATCACTCCTTAGTACAAACTAAACCAAGCTAGCTTCCTTGATCACTAAGCCGGATAACAACTTGCTAAGGTTTTTCAACTCCTTCTGAGTTTACTCCGCATCTATCAACTTCTTAAGAGTTGAGTGTTGGAAAATATTGATGGAATCTCCAACTTGAAATCTTGACTTAATGGAGCTTGATCTTCGTATCAACTTGTGCAAGATTTCTCTTTGGTGTGAAGACTTAAGAGCTAGATCGTCTTTTTTAAAGAGTCTTCACAAACACACATTGGTTGCAAAATAACTTGTAGCTTTGAGAGAGTTTGAAAGCTTTCCAATAGCAATAGAGTGATAACCATAGAGTTATATGCAGCGGAAAATATGTGTTCTTGTTAGTTTTCTTGCACTTTTAGTTTGAAAGATGTTGCTTAGGTTTGATATGAATGGCAATCCCGTCAACAAAAATTTAAAGTTAACCTGTTAAAAATATTAATTACTCTTTTTTTTAGAGTTAAGTGGCTTATTTGCTTTTTTTTTTTTTTTTTTTTTTTGAGTTCAATGGCTTATTTGGGGGTTATTTGAGTTCGATAGCTTAATTATTTTTTCCCAAATAGTTCAGTGGCTTATTTGTACTTTATCTCAATTATTTATATCTAAGTTCAAACTTCGGGTATAAACACCGTCACAATTATGATAGGATCGAACCCGACCCCAATCCGTGCATGCCCAACCCACTTTTGCCCGCAAATTATGCCGTGGAATCGTGTTCACCGAGAATGGTGAACACAAGTCAAAACGACGTCGTTTTTAGGCAAAAAAAAAAAAAAATCGCAGATGTGGAGTTAACGGCGCGTTACTGATCAAATTATGAATTTTCTGTTATGAGATTATAAATTTTATGAAAATTCATAATCTCATAACAGAAAATTCATAATCTCACAACAGAAAATTCATAATCTCACAACAGAAAATTCATAATCTCATAACAGAAAATTCATAATCTTATAACAGAAAATTCATAATCTCATGGTTCCAAAGTGAATGTGTAGGCATGGTTCCAAAGTGAATGTGCAGGCATGGATTCATAATTTATGAATGTCCGTGATTTCGGACGGGAATATGTAGGCATGGTTCCAAAGTGAATGTGCATGCATGAATTCATAATTTATGAATGTCCGAAACTCCGAAATTGTGAATGTAATGAAAATTCATAATCTCATAACAGAAAATTCATAATCGCATAACAGAAAATTCATAATCTCATAACAGAAAATTCATAATCTCATAACAGAAAATTCATAATCTCATGGTTCCAAAGTGAATGTGTAGGCATGATTCCAAAGTGAATGTGCAGGCATGGATTCATAATTTATGAATGTCCGTGATTTCGGACGGGAATATGTAGGCATGGTTCCAAAGTGAATGTGCAGGCATGAATTCATAATTTATGAATGTCCGAAATTATGAATGTAATGAAAATTCATAATCTCATAACAGAAAATTCATAATCGCATAACAGAAAATTCATAATCTCATAACTGAAAATTCATAATCTCATAACAGAAAATTCATAATCTTATAACAGAAAATTCATAATCTCATGGTTCCAAAGTGAATGTGTAGGCATGGTTCCAAAGTGAATGTGCAGCCATGGATTCATAATTTATGAATGTCCGTGATTTCGGACGGGAATGTGTAGGCATGGTTCCAAAGTGAATGTGCAGGCATAAATTCATAATTTATAAATGTCCGAAATCTTTGTTCACCTCAAATTAAAGTGAAACCGCAAAATGTGAAAATAAAGAAGAAAAGTCACGCAATTAAAAAAAAAAAAAAAAAAAAAAAAAAAAAAAAAAACGTGTTCACCATTTCCATGGCATAACGTCTGACTTTTGCCTATATGCGGGTTGCCTTTCCAGTTTTGAGCTTCCAAGGAAACTTAATTAATAATTAAGCGACCGCTCAGCGCAGTGACTGTTACTGCATTTTAGTTTTTACGGTGATCGCTAACTAGTACTGTCGAAATTGGTACTCCTCCCAATTCTTTCCATGGAAGCATCACGCTAAATGATCTCTAATCCCACCGCACAACAGGAAGGGGAAGAGGTTAGCAACTATATATATATATATATATATATATATATATATATATATATATATATTAATTACGATTTGTAATATTGAATTGATTTCCTTTCACTTAGAACATCACTTCTTGTTCTTGTGTTCTTTACAAATTCGAAAACAGCTTTGAATGTGGTTCATTCTTGGTTTAGTGGTTTTGCATTATCCAATTCAAAGGTGAGGTGAGTCACTGAGTTGTATTTGTGTGAGTGAAAGTCGTGTAGGTGTTGTGTTTGATTAAAATTCTCTACCATATTTTCTATCGTCTTTGATTTTGTAGCATTGTTTTGGGCAACTAGAGAAACACGCAGCGTGAGATAAACCTAGTCTTTGTGATCCGAGTCAGTAAAGGACCTAAATCAGTTTAGTTTCTCCATAACTGGTCAGTTCAGATTAAGAAGGGAGCCACTCTCATTGGAAGTGGATAACCTTGTAATTTTCGAGCTAACAACCTGACTAACTTGACTGAATTTCCCCTAGCAGCATGAATGTGGGTAAACCCCGCCGACCTTATTAGCTGGCAAAAAACTACAAGCTTAAGTTACCCGGTCAATAATATCCGACAAAAGACCACATGCCTAAATTACCCATAGTTTATGGAGACAAATCAAGAAGGTTAGGATTTGAACTTGTGACCCTATGGTTACAAGTTTGTATCCTTGGGTTAACCCTAGCAGCATTTGTTCATCTGATAGTATTATGGCATCCATGGCAACTCCACCCTCAACACTTACGTTGAAAACTCGGTGCCACTAACGTTGTCTGTCAACATCCCCTCCGCTAAGAGAACCGTAATGGTGGACGTGAGAGCTCAAGACACAATCACGACCGTCAAAGCATACATCGAGGCCAAAGAAAACATCCCTCCAAACCAGTACACTTTGTTTCACGATGGAAAGGCGCTGGAAGAGGATAAAACCTTAGCGTTTCTCGAGATCAATTCGACGCTGCTTCTTCACATGATCTGTAATCCCAAGGAAACCTTGAAGGTCTCAGTGAAAACGTTAACCGGAGAAATCGTGGAGACACAGCTTAGGATGTTGTACACCATTCTGGACGTGAAAGGCGTGGTTGAGAGCAAAGTTGGGTACCCAGTGAAGGTTCTTGGATATAGAGGAAAGCTGCTGGAGGATTCAGAGACTGTGTCATATTATAACATCGAGGATGGGTCCATCTTGGAGATCCTGCCACGAGCTACTCAGATAATCATCAAACGGATTGGGGAAAGCACATGCTTTGAAGTGTTCCTATGGGGATCTGTTAAAAATCTGAAAGAAGCGATCTGATAATGTGCAGAAGCTGATGTTTGAGGGGAATATCCTGTATGATTCCAAGGAATTGGCAAGCTATGGATTCAGGAAAGACTCAACCATTCATTTATTTTGAGAACACCTTGCATCCGGTTGCCTTCCAAGGATCCAGCTCGTTGCAATTCTCCACGAGTTTGTAGTTGAACATCCGCGCAATCTCATAAACGTAGAGAGACAGTCCGTGGGTGATTTCCAGGAGAACGTGTTTGGAGAGATGGGCGTAGCTGCCAAAAGTGACGTACAAAACGGAGCCGTGGGGTTTCTTGTCGAGCCACTGGGTGCAGTCGGACTCCGACCAGAGGCTCGTCGCCACTGCGCTCTGGGCGAACACCGGCGGGAAGATGGGGCCCACCGTGAAAAACGGCTTCTTTTCTAGCCGCCACGGTTTCGTGCTCGAGCTCTTGGACGGTGTTGCACAACACGAAATCTGTGTTTCTTGCGTCTTGGAACGAGTTGTAAATTATCTGGTGGCATACCGTCTCCGTTTCCGTTTCTTGAATGTACGACATCAAATCCTTCACCTCAATTGATCTCACTCTAGGCACGTACTTGATGGTGTCCTCACGCACGTAAATTCAGTCAAAGTGGCCGTTGAGGCGCAAGAGATGGAGGTGATAATAAAGGGTAAAAACCAAAGCAGGTTCCGTCCAGAAAGAAATATACAGAAGCTTATATTTCTTGGCCAGTTTTCCGGGGAAGACGAAGAAACTATCGGCGATCAAGCAGTTAACGGGAGGGCCGCCGGAATTCGCAGACGACGTCAAGATGGATTTTCTTGAGAGCCTCCTCGACGTGGGCGGGATAGACATGCAGGAACGAGGCCATGAACTGGTCGTGGGAGGCCGTTGGAGATGGTGACGTAGTGGATGTCGAGGCCGGGCTTGCGGATGTCGGAGAAGATGTCGTCGTCCCAGCGGTTGCTCTTGGTGAGGTGGTAGTGCACGGAATAGGTGTTGATGAAGGTGACGACGAAGCCTTCTCCAGGTTGACGAGGAAGAAGAATTTGTTTGTTTGTTTGTTTTTTTGTTTTTTTTTTTTTTTGAAATAAGAAAGAAGAAAAATTTTAATAAATAAAATATATGAAATTACCTTTTTATCCTTAAATTTAACAGTTTTATGGATATAATTTTAACGGAGGATCAAAATTGTTAACATTTTCAAAGTCGATGACTTAATTGGGTAAAAAAAAATTATCGAGGACTAAATTGGTAAATTTATAATAGTCGAGGGACCATTTCAGTAATAAACTCAAATTTAAAATTAAATAGCATAATAGTTTTATGCTTTTTTATTCTCAACTTATATCTTTGGCTCTATTTTTAAACGTCTTATAATATATACTAGTTTTTTACACGCATTGCGCGATTGAGATAATGCCCAATATTTTTTTTAATAAGTACTTTAAAGTATATCAATGCAATATTATATTGAAATTGTTTATACATAGATAATTGAATGTTGAATTTGTGTATTTAAATAGGTAATTTTAAGTTTACAAATGCAAGATAATATAGTCAAGATTGATTATAATTGTCAATAAAATAATTGTATAGGTATTATTGAAATCAAATACGGGACATAAGGGAGAGCAAATGGAAATTAGGGCATAAAATATTAAATATATACTAATATTGAAGAGCTAACCGTTGATTGCCAAATAAGGACATTGCGAGGTAATTTCCCACTTCAATTTGTTGTGTGATTTGAATACTCTTTTTGTAAATAAATCTCCCAAGTAGTTAATATGATTGGCTTAATTATATTTTTTTATTTTTTTAAACAATTATTATTATTATTATTATTATTATTATTATTATTATTATTATTATTATTATTATTATTATTAAATATATGTATACCTTAGGTCATTTTACATGTTAATCTAAACAGCTAATTTTTTTCAAATATCTTTTTATCAACCGTTGATATAATTCGCTGCTCAAATCCGCTAACTGTTGATTGTCAAACAAGAACATTGCGAGTTAGTTCTCACTTAAATTTGTTGTGTGATTTGAATACTCTCTTTGTCAACAAATTCCTCAAATAGTTAATATAATTGACTTTATTAATTATATTTTTTAAATTTTTTCATGGTATTAATAAAATACTTGGTAAATAAATATATAGCATTATTTTGTATTATAACTTTGATATTTAATTAAAAAATAGTGCACAAAAAAGATAATAGACAATGTAGTGAATATAATCAATTGATGAATTTGAATGTAAAGAATTTTTACATTGGAAAAATATAAAGACAATATAACTAATAAAATTATTTCTCTTAATTAATTTATTGATAAGGAATAATTGTTTTTAATAAAGACATTGTAGGGACAATGTAGCGAATATAATCAATTGATGAATTTGAATGTAAAGAATTTTTATATTGAAGAAAAATAAAGACAATAGAATTAATGAAATTATTTCTCTTATTTAATTTATTAATAATGAATAATTTTTTTGAATAAAGACATTGTACACACATAATTCAAAATTAAAGAAATGCATGTGTATTATTTTTTGTTGTAGCTACTAAATTATTATTTTTAATTTAGTAAGAGTAAAATAGAGTACTAATTATGCCAATTTTGATTGGGATGAGTTTTGAACCTGAGACCTTTCTTATTGAAATCAATGAGTAAGTTAACGGTGAACTAACAGAAACTAACGGAGAATATAATATTTAACGGAAAAGTTAACGGATAATCATATAATTAAGGATAAATTAGTAAATCTCAAGAAAAAATTAAAATCTGATCAAATCTGAGCCATTCATTTGATTAAAAAATTTGACCGCCATTTTTTCTACCCATTATAGGCCTAACTCTCTTGGGCTCTTATTAGTATATATATATATAGTATAGTGTGTGTGTGTATATATATATATATATATATATATATATATATATATATATATATATATATATCAGCTGAATCAAATATATTCTGATTCGTATTCGAATTCGGGTTCGTATTCAAATATAGCTCTTAAAATAGGAAACAAAAGATTGGTCGAAAGAAAACTTGGTCAGTCGGTCATTAATGAATTCTTAGCTTGCTGTTCTTTTCCAATGGGGCGTACTTATTAGAACTCTATGTATTTGAGTTAGTTTATAATTCTTTATCCCAATCATTATATGACTCTTCTTTGTATATATATTCTTATTATCTGTACTCTTTGTAATCATCTTATTGAATACAATTCACTTCCTTGTATATATATATTCTCATTATCTGTACTCTTTATAATCATCTCATTCAATACAGTTCATTCAGTTCTCTTCCTGTACCCGCAAGACTCAAGAATTTGTGCATGTCATCACTACAGTGTGTTGTATAGAATAGAGGATTAAGCTGCTTTTACATTCCCGGATAAGAACGTATATAATAAAAGGACAGAAACGATGTCGTAATAGGTCGTGAAGACCGTATATTGTATTATATACCGTAAATAGGCTATTACAATGGTTTGTTAGTACAAAACATGTAATTAAGATAGAATATGTCTTGTTAGGACAAGTAAGGAGACTTTTATACAAGCTAAACCCCCCAACCGCCACCCCCTAAAACGGGGGTAGTTGGATCTCCAAGTTGACCATTGAGTCCTTCCGGCCAAATCACAGACCAAAAATCACCGGAAATATGTAAATCATTTTTTATTATTTAATTATGAGGATAAATAATTGGTCATTTCCTTCTTCCTCCTTCTTCTTCCTTCGTCCTTCGAAAATATACGCCGGCGTATATTAATGTCTTAGAAGAGGATTAAAATGGGAACCAATTGCAGTCCAATATATGAGAATTTGAATTCCATTTTCAAGATATCCGACGTCAAGATTTCAAGAACCAAATGCACTGGAAAGTCATCAATGGAAGCTACTCTCAATTTATCCCCCATTTTCATCCACAAAATCTACAGTCCAAAATCGAAAAAAATAAATAAATAAACACTCAGAAATATGAAAGCTATCAAAACCCAAAAATACGAAGAAATATGAAAAAATATGAAAGCTATCAAAAAAAATTCAAAACTTTTCAAGCAAAGCTTCAAAAGAAATTTAAAAACCCAGATCTCAAAACTATACAGGAAGCCAAAATTCAAAGAAAATCAACCCAGATCTTGGTAAGCATTTACGAGCTCTGGAATGCGGCGGTGGCTTCGGATTCAGGGATGTCCGATTGGCGCTACAAGCTAATTTCTTATAAGCGGAGCGAATTTCGTCAGGACTGCAGTCTCGCCTCACGCCGAGAACCTCGTAGAGGCATTGCTTATCACGCAATTTGAGAGAGGATTATGGATGCCATGTCAAAGGACTTTTCCTCGGACGCGGAGTGCTGCGACTTGCATATTTCACGAATAAGTGCTCACTTATTTGAAGAAGATTTATCTCGCAGGTGTTGAAGAAGGTGACCGGAGAGATGCAGGGATGGTTGAAGATCACATTGGCGGCGGTGCCGACCAGAGTTCTTGTTTCTCTGGTGATTATGGTTATCCAGAAAGCATGTTGTCGTGGGAGATGAGGGGTTGAAGAACGGCGATCGGAGATTATGGAGGATGGGCCGGCCGGGAGATCGGAGAAGAAGAAGGAAGAAGAAAGAAGAATTTGAAATGACCATTTTACCCCTCAAATATTTAATAAACTAAGGGATTGTATTTTTCCGACCAAAATCCACCGGTGATTTGGCCGGAAGGACTTAATGTGTAAAAAAAAAAAATTTACTAAAAGGACTAAATCTGTTAGTTTTAAAAGTCACAAACTGAAATTACCACCTCCCCTATAGTCATAGGACAAAAAGTGTAATTTTCTCTTATTATTATTATTATTATTATTATTATTATTATTATTATTATTATTATTATTATTATTATTATTATTATTATTTATACTAATTTAAATATAAAAAATCTTATTATTATTTATAATTATTTAAATATAAAAAATCTTAATATAAAATAATAATATTGGTCACCTAATTTTTGCGCATCAGACAATACTAGTTATATATATATGTAGCAATGATAAAAGAACTTCGAAAGTAGAATCCCAAAATACAACACCAGGCCAGATATGACGTAGCAAGGAATCATCAAAAGCGTTATGGAAGAAGTTTACAAATTTAATACTATCAAATGAACGAATGCTTCTAGGGTAACCCGGCAAATATAAACTTGTAACGTCAGCCAAGTTAATCAGGTTGTTAGTTCAGAAATAACAAATTAAGTTATCCACCGCCAATAATAAAAGTGATCCCCTTCTTGATTTGAGCTGACAAGCTATGAACAAATTAAACGGATTTAGGTTGTTTACTGCTTCAGGTTATTAAGATTAAGGGTGTGTTTGGTTCGCACATAGGAATCGGAATCGGAATGAGTATCAAATACTTGATAATGATAATAGATTTTGGTAAAAATATTTAACATGTTTGGTAGTAAGGTGGAATGGGAATGGTTACTAATAGTAGTGCTTGAGAATGAATAAGAGAATGAAACTCTTATTATATTTGGGTATATGAATTTTTCAATTGATGGGGTATTCGAAACTCATAGTAATATTCTAAAAACTTATCAACCAAACAACAACAATCACTTTCATACATATTTCTATGGGCAAAACCCACCAACCAAACACACCCTAAGTTTATCTAGTGACTATTTAGGCTGCTGGTTTCTCTAATCATCCAAAAGAATGCTACCAAATCAAACATGATAGAAAATATGGTAGAGAATTTCAATCGAACACAACACCTACACGACTTTCACTCACACAAATACAACTCACCTGCTTTTGTTGCGCCATGTGATTAGAGCTCTGCTGAGAAGATGCTTCCATTTCCATGGAGAAAGTTCATAGTAGAACCAACATGGAGAGTACCTATTATTATATATAATTAACTGAGCAGCCGCTTAATCTAATCTAATCTAACTCTATAATAAAGCAAAAAAATTTTGCCAATCATTTTTTCCCGCCCATTGGATAAAACGCCGTTGTGCATTTTTATGCAATCATTGTTTCCCGCCCATTGCATACTACGCCGTTTTGACACTATCAAATAATTACATATTATTTAATGCCCTGTATAATTAAATTCCCCATTGGGATTCGACTTAGCCCTTTTTAAAGCAAAAAACTCTTTGTATTCTAAAGTATATCAGATATACCCATTACCAAGGGTACTATATTAATTAAACAGGGCATACATGAATTCAAATTCAATGGACGGTTCGTTTACCAAAATACGGCATTAAAGGATAGTAATGATATACTTGATTATCTTCAACTATAAATACATCATCATACTAGAACACTTCTACTGCATATCAAATACGTGATTTCCAGAACTGCATTTCGTCTAAAGCCATGGTTCCAGTGTATATCTTGGCAAGAGATATTAGTCCTATGATAACTGAGGCAGCCATGAATTTGCGACTGGTGCGTACCTACGATATTTTGCAAAGCAGAGATAGTCAAAAATTAAAATGCAGAGAATGAGTCTTTCACAATGAAGAGGTAAATTTCTGGCCTTTCGTTTTATTGATTCATTATTTTTTGAATATGGTAAACATGTAAAACATAGATTGTTGGTATGGTAACACAGATTTGAGCTTTAGCTATGGAAAACATGCAAACATAGATTTCAGTACTGGGAAGATGCTAATCATGCAAACACAGATTTTAGTACTGGGAAGATGTTTATGAGTACTATTTCTGATATCTATGAACGCAGAGAGGTATATTTTTATTATATACTAAAACATAGATTGTTGGTATGGTAACACAGATTTGAGCTATAGCTATGGTAAACATGCAAACATAGATTTCAGTACTGGGAAGATGCTAAATATGCAAACTCAGATTTTAGTACTGGGAAGATGGTTATGAGTACTATTTCTGATATCTATGAACGCAGAGAGGTATATTTTTATTATACTAAATAACTTTTTAAATATCTAGATGGTATATTATTTAATTTTTTTTTTAAATTTTGGTTGCAGTTTGGAGACTACTGGGAGCCCTGTAAGATTGTTGTTATTAAATCTAACATATATGACAGGTACTATGACTGTTGCAAGTGTCCAGTATGTAACAAAGAACTGGATTTTAAAAATGGAATGTATTTGTGCAAAAAATGTAGTAGAAGTTGACTTGTGGATGTTTTAAGATATAGGGTCAATGTTCTGTGTTGTTGGATGTTAATGGTGATGGACCTTTGTTACTTTGGGATCGTGAATGTGTTGAGGTTTTAGGTATGAAAGACGGAGCTCAAATCTACTCAGCAAAAGGTGAGTACAATGCTATTTTTCACTATATCTTAATTAATCTATACCTCTATACATAGATTGTATCGGTACTGCTAACTAAATTTGTTCTCATTTTTTAGGTGGTTAGAAAAATCCCCAAAGAGCTTGAAAGTTTGGTAGGTCTTGGAATAGCCAATTTGTAATTCAAATTAAGAATGACTCATCTCTATTTGCTATTTTCAGCCTTGGACTTCTTGATAGTAACCATAAACATTTGACTTCAAAGTTGCAACTTAAAGATGATGATGAGGTGAGTTAAGTATTCAGTTTTGATAAAAATGTTTTATCTATATATCATTAAGGTTGCATTTTCTAACTCATTTTATGCTGACCAAGAAAGGACTGTTAATTGGTTTGACAGTAGCAGAGTTGAAAACATTGTATCCAAGTTGTAAAAATCATTTCACCGTCTACTTTTAATAATCTTTGAAACTTAATACTATGAGTAAACTAATGCAGACTATGAACTTGACTTAGGAAAATGGGAAGATACCTATGGAAGACTTTGGTTTGGTCTATCATTGGTATTTAAAATTGCTGCTAGAAAGGAACAATTTGACAATCTACTTACTGCATTTCCTGTGGTAAAAATTGAGAAAGACAGTGCAGCCAGAAGATCAACATGACATTGATGATGTAAGGTTCCTAACTAAATATAATTCTAATCTATATTTAATTGTTATTTTCGGAAATGAAATATAATCTCTAATTTGTAAAATGCTTGCAGGAATTCTTCAAAGAGGATGATGATGAGGCTGAAATTCATTAACTGCTTTGAAACCAGTGAAGGAATTGAGTGGTGATTGAAGTGGTTCAGTGAAAAGAAATCTTCTAGAGGAATTATCATGCACCTAAAGCTCAAAAAAGAATAACCAAGTGAATGTGAAGCTGGAAAAAGTGGCATGTGACCTAGAATAGCTTGGTTTCTGAAAAAATCTTTTTGGACTGGTGGGTTGTGAAACAATATTCAGAACTGTATTCCAGCTTTGTTTGACATCTAAAACATTATTTTGGACTGTGGTTTTTGCCCCAAGTGCCAATGATGTGTAAGTTTGAACTATTGGTTTCTATGTGACAGATTTATATTAGCTATCTTGCAGTTTTCTTAAGTTATTTTCATGCGTTGATTCAGGAAAGATGGTGATGTAATGGAATAAAGATTTGTAACTTAGGCTGAGAATTGGCTATTGACAATCTAGACAAATAAAATTAGTCATTAATAATAATAGCATATGCACCTCTTTTTTTTTTTTTTTTGTAGAATAAACCACATTCCACATTTAACAGTGACAGATGAGTTGAATCCTGCAAAATTGGAAGACAATTTAAGGCAAACTGATATTAAAGACAATTTAAGGCAAACTGATATTTATGACTATTAAAGAAACTCTAATTCAACTACTAAATTCAAACATTAGTAGTTTTGCAGGATGAACAAACATCCAATCTATATGATAAAATCCAAAATCCCAACTACACATGCTACCTTGGCAAATTTGCATAGTAGCAAAGAAAAATCTTTAAAAAGTAAAATAACCTGATACTGTTGATCATGAAACGTGAAATAACAATTAAAGAATAAAATTAGTAGTATTAAACAAGTCTTTGAAGATATTAGTAGATCATCAAATTCCATATCAAAATAAATTAACATTTGAGCACAAGGAAAAAAAGTGACGGTTGTGAAAAAACTTTATCCTATTGGTTAAAGGTGGAGTTATAGAATTCAAGTATTACTTCTAAGTAGACAAAAAATGGTGTTTTGTCTACATCTATTTCGATGAAATGACAACACACAAGAGAGAGATATGCTAAACTGTTAGTGTTCATACATAATTAGTGAAAACAACTAATTCATTATGTCAAAATACTGTTAAAATGCTATGATCACATGTGTGTTTATCAAAGTAATATTACTCTGCAAAAAAAAATAATCATTTCCACTGAAAGATCACAATTATGAAAATGAAACAAAATTTGAAAAAGGGGCTGAGCAATTTCTTAAATATATTCTAACTACTAACGCACACAATTGTGAAGAGGTGCTTGCTGGATGACCTTTCATCAACCAAGGCGTCAAAGAAAGTGAAAGAGAGTGGATTGAAAATAAAAAAACTGGATTAGTATTTGGGCTGATTAAAAAGGATTTTGGTTTTCTGTTCCTATTTGAACTCTGGTAACTTTGACTGTGATTTTGGCAGTTTGATTATGTGCGTTTAGTGGCATGATTACTTTGGGTATTCATTAAAAACATCAGACACTATGAGCTGAATTAAGCTATCTTGATTTTTTTATTTTTTTTTGCAGGAATCAAGCTGTGTGAGTGCAGTTGAAGAGACCTAAAAAAAAAAAAAAAAAAAAAAAAAAAAAAAAAAAAGCTGGACAAGCTGTGCATCAAATTAGACCAAAATAATGAAGAAATCAAGATCTACCAGATAAAAGAACAGTCTTGGTTCAACAAGAACAGGATAGTGAATCACACAAGATGTACCTTAGACTCGACAAACTGAATTCTAAGTCCAAAGTTCACAGTACATGAACTATGGAGCTTTTAGTTGATGTGGAACTTAACTTTGTAAGTAAAAGTTAAGTGAGGAGCATGTAGATTGTACCAGATTGTAGATATCTCATCCTGATGGTTAATCAACTGATAAAACTAATTCTATCAAACTGCTCTAAGTATGAATTAAACTTACATGCCATTTTGGTGGTATGTCAGTCTTATTGATTAACCACCATACAACACTACTTAAAACACAAACAAAAGTTAACACTAAATTAAATTATCAGAATTGCAATTTAAACAGTCAGAAAAAAAAACTTTGTGATTCAAAATTATAGTAAAAGAAGTAAATTAACTCGAATTTAATTAGTAGTAACTTACCTAATTTAAAGCGTAAAGATGAAAACTTGCTGGTAGGGTGTGTAAGGATTCCTGTGATGGTTGTTTCCTGCAATAGTTCATTCAAAACCATAATTATGCTCCATAGGAGAAAGCAAAACACTAAGTACATACTATCAAAGTTAAAAAATAGGGAAAAAAATGTGATTCAAAAGGCATAGTAAAATAATGATATTATACCCAAAAAAATGTGATTCAAAAGGCATCGTAAAATAATGATTTAAGGAACATAATCATTTAAACCCTTTTGTTAAAGTGCTATCAATTCTACTCATGCTTTCTATTTTGCTATTGGCTTAAGTGTCAATTTAAAACTCATATTTCACATTAAAACTTCTATTACTCTAAATCTATATTGGTTACTATTTGTTTATCTAATTTGTTGTATTAGCCTTTTTTTTTTTGTCACTTAATAATTTTGCAGGTCCTACTCTAAATAACAGTCAGTGAAGAGAATTAAGCAGAATAATGGAAAGTCATAAGTTGCTACAACATTGAAGTCATGATACCCCTATTCTATGGCAAGGAATTCAAGTTTACTGGCAAAGTCCAGTGAAACAGAGTACTGAAGTCATCAATAATCAAGTGTAAAGGAAAGCAGTTGATGTACTTTTTCAATAATAAGTATAAAGGAAAGCAGTTGATGTACTCTATCACAAGAGCATCTTCTACTTAATCAATATTTGCATAGATGTGAAACACAGATATTTGCAGGGTTCTTGGGATGCAGTTTGTCAGTTATGCACATGTGTTTTTAAAAATGATCAAAACAAGTTTAAAAAATGATTAAAATTTGAGTACCTTTGAGAGCTATGTCTTCATACACCTTTAATAACAAGTTTGATCAATTTCATACTACTTCTAAATGTGTTGATTGTAGCTTTAATGCCTCCAAATATTTTTCCTAAAATAAAATATAAGTTAGCAAAGTTAATTGTAATGCTTTTATGGATTTAAAAAAAAAAAAATGAAAGAATTAACTTAGAGCTTAATTAGAAAACCTCTAATAGTCTGGGAAAATGTATTTTTGCAGTGAATACAAACCTCAGTAAAAACCAATATGAAAATCGGTAAATTTAAGCTTTAGATTTCATAAATTAGGGCAGCTTTATAGACATAAAATTAGGGGAAAAATACTCGAAAGATTTACATTGCAAATGAGACAAAATCGAAACATTCCAGAATCAAAACCGAAACAACTGGGTGTAAGCCTTTTATTTTTTGCAGAACCAAATCGTAATTTGTAAGCTAAGCATTTCCAGAAATTATGTAAGATAATACTACATCTAAACAAAAATTAGGTAGGTTAATTGTAAAAATTTGACACAAAAAAAGAGAAAGGAATACATATCTGAGTGTTAGCCTTCAATCCTTCTGTTTCGATGCTTAGTAGGGTTTCCATCAGATCGAAGAGAGATAAATCAGAGATGAGAAATGAAGAACGGGAAGTTAAGAATGAGAAGCAGAGATGTTCTAAGGCTTTCGAAAGTGGAAATGCTATTATTAGTATAATATATATATTAATTAAAAAGCAAAAATTGTTTGTTGTTCACTAATGAGGTATGCTGTGCATCATGGTGCATACGGATGCCAAAACGACGTCGTTTTATTAAAAAACGCGCGTCTCCCCTTTAAAAAAATTCAGGTTCGATTCCCAGCAACAACATTATATTGTTCATTCATTCTGGAATTATAGTTCATAGATTATGGAATTATGGAATTGTAGTTCATCGATTCTGAAATTTTAGTTTATAGATTATGGAATTTTAGTTCATTCATTCTGGAATTTTTAGTTCATAGATTAGATTATGGAATTATAGTTCATCGATTATGGAATTATAGTTCATATGTTGTTGCTGGGAATCAAACTTGATTTTTTTTTTAAAGGGGAGACGCGTGTTTTATTAAAACGACGTCGTTTTTGCATCCGTATGCACCATGCATGGTGCATACGAATGCACAGCATAATTTGCCCACTAATGCTATACACGTGTAGGTATAGCATAATAATCTTTAGTTTTCTTATTTGCAAAATGTAAACCAATTATATATGGTTTTTTTAATATATGTTTAGCCTTTTATTTATTATATGTTCAAGATATACATGTATTATAATTGTATCATAGTTTTCTTTACTATGTAACTATGTTCAGCATATTGACTGCTTAGATATGATTAATATTTTATACTTGAGCCAAAGTTATTTTTTGAACTAACTACATATTTGGACTTTTGGACTTTTAAATCATTTACAAATATATATATTTGTGGGACATAATTTTTTGTTTGTGCCTAATAAATAAAATAGTATTTGGGTTATATATACAAAATTATAATTATATATTTGGGTTATCGTTTCAAAAATTTTATATGGCCGTGCATCGCACGGGATGCAAAGATATACATTTTCAGAAATGCCAATTGCAAATTTTGAGACCTATAATATAATATCAAATAGGTTGATACAAGAAGAATTGGCATGTGATTGTCTTGCTCAGGAGAAAGAGAATCAGGAATTGGTATGCCAATTAACAGAAAAGCAAAAGGTAATATATGATGAGGTGTTAAGAGATATTGAAGGCAAAGCTAGGGGGTTATTCTTCGTTTATGGTTATGGAGGTACTGGTAAGACGTTCTTGTGGGGGTGAAAATAGTTTTAAATGTTGCATATAGTGGCATAGCTTCTCTTTTGTTACCAGGCGGCAAGACTGCACATTTTCGGTTCGTCATACCTATATCTGTCAATGAAGATTCCACTTGCAACATAAGTCAGGGCACCCCATTGGCTGAGCTTACTATGCAAAGCAAGTTGATCATATGGGATGAAGCTCCAATGATGCACAAATTTTGTTTTGAAGCCCTAGACAGAATTATGATGGATTTTTTGCGCTCTAAAAATCCAAATAGTTATGATATGACATTTGGTGGTAAAACGATTATTTTTTGTGGCGATTTTAGGAAAATTCTTCCAGTAATTCCAAAAGGCACAAGATAAGATATTGTTGGGGCGAGCATAAATTCGTCATATCTTTGGAGATCCTGTAAAGTATTTGGGTTAACTAAGAATCTACGCCTAAGAAGTGTACAATCACCGATTGAGGCTAAACAAATTGAAGAGTTTGAAAACTGGATAGCTAATATAGGTAACGGTACACTTGGTAATTCAAGGGATAGTGAAGCAGATTTTACAATTCCAGATCTATTTTTGCTCAGGTCTGATGATGATCTTATTGCTACAATTGTTGATAACACCATCCCTAGCTCTGGACGTGGTAATGAGGATCTGTCATATCTTAAGGATAGTGCTATATTGGCTCCAACATTGGATGTGGTAGATAACATTAACAAATACATGAATGATCGTAATCCAGCTGAAGGTAGGACTTACTTGAATTGTGATTCAGTTTGTAAGTCAGATTCAAATGCTGATATGTTAGCGGATTTGCACACTCCTGAATTCTTGAATGGTCTGCGATGTTCTGGAGTACCTAATCATGCTTTTACTTTGAAAGTTGGGTCACCGGTTATGCTCTTGAGAAATATTGATCACACTCTTGGCTTATGCAACGATACAAGATTAATTGTAACAAGGTTAGCTGATCACATGTTGGAAGCTCAGATCATGTGCGGTACAAGATTGCTTTTCAAATTCCAGAATGTCACTTACCCCGTCAGATCCAAGATTGCCTTTCAAATTCCAACGAAAGCAATTTCCTTTGATGCTATCCTATGCCATGACAATAAACAAAAGCCAATGACAAACTCTTTCAAAAGTGGGATTGTTTTTAAAAAGACCCGTCTTTAACCATGGCCAAATGTACGTAGATATTTCAAGAGTTAGTAATCCAATGGGTTTTAAAATATTGATTTGTGGCGAAAATAATACATGTCTAAGTAAGACAAAAAATGTTTTGTACAAAAAAGTTTTCAATAATGTGCAATAAAATTTCAATTTGTTTCTTTTCAAATTTATTAGATTTTCAATAACTATATTTTACACTGTATATTCCATATACTATATATATAGCCGTGCATCGCACGGGTGCAACTACTAGTTAAATATGAAGCATTAAACTTCATGGGAAGATGGAACGACACGCCATGCCGTTTGAATTCTACGATGTTGCCCATTTCGTTTAACTAAAATTATTACAATTATTACAAATAAAATAAAAGGAAAATAGCATTTTTTTTCTCCAGAATTATATGTTTATAGCTAATTTTTTTCTTTTAATTATTCATGTAACCATATTAGCTCCCTCTATTGCTTATACGTAGGGATGATCACGGTTCGGGTCAAACTGAACCAAACACTATAACAATCGAATTCAAAATTTTTGGTTATGATTCAGATCCAGAACCCAATATTTGGATTTCAGTTTATTAAAATCATGAATAAAAAAATTGGATCCTGAACCGTGAACCGCCGATTCGAATTGGAACAACTACTAGCATTAGTTTAATAGTGTGTGTTTTTTTACATTTATTCTGATTCTCACATATAAGTATATATGACCGCGATTTGGTTTTGATTTTGAATTGCCGGTTCACGGTTCCGGATTATCCAGTTTGAACGGTTGGTTCAAACTTTATTTTAAAATAGTCTAAATTTAACAATAAATGTATTTTATTTTATCAGTTCGGAACATGAACCAGCCGTTCCAGTTCACGATTTTAATAAACTCTAAATATCGAGTTTTGATTCTAAATTATAATCGGAATATTTCAGTTTGGTTGCTATATTGTCGGTTAGATTTAAACCAAATCGTGGTAATAATTTGTTGGAAAAGAAAAATAAATTAAATCTTTATTTTAAGAGTAATATGTCCATTTAACATTTCAAGGAGAAAAATTGTCACTTGAATAATTTATGGGGAAAAAATGTTATAAGTATATAACTCAAGAACAAAAAAAAATTATTTTCCCTAAAATAAACAAAAAGGGCTACAATACCTTTTTTGTTTTTACTTTCATGCAGTTATACATCTTTTCTCACACATAATTTTCATCTTCATACGTGTCTATAAAGGCAAAATTTCCTTACACTTACACCCCTGCCTAGGGCTGCAAACAAGCTGAGCTGAGCTCGAGCTCGATAGAACCTTAAAATTGAAGCTTGAGTTTTGCTCGTGAATTTTTTATATAGCTCGAGTGTACGAGCTCAAGTCAACCTTGACTCAACTGGCTTGAATTGAGATCAAATTTTCGAGGTCAAGTTCGAGTTAGATTGCTTGAACTTTCAAGTTCGAGTTTGAGCTCAAGTTCAACCTATTTAATTCAATGCTACAATTAATAATATAAATATAAATTAATCTATCCCTACATAAATAATTATCAACTTTATAAAATTTAGAGTCCAAAATAAAATATCACACTTATGTTCCAACCATAAAAACTTTAAAAAATCTCTAGTGTTATTTTATACTCTCTAGTTTTTACAAGGGGTTGGAAATTCACAAAACAATGAACTCATAATGTCAACTTTCATCCCAAAAGATTGAATTTCCAACCCAAAGACCTCACACACTCTGGTCCAGAAGAGCATTTATGATGATGTAAATCATGGTAACTCAGCTGAACTACAGAGGCTAGACACTTCCTTAATGCGCACAAAGAGCCCCTCACAAAACAATGAACTCATAATGTCAACTTTAGGAACATTGCAGAGAGTATAAGTATATTTCTTGAAGGCAACCCATACAACTAATATATACAGAGTAGTATTTAAGATTTGAGATTTGATATTAATTAATCATTATCATACATAACACATTATAAATCTCACAATTAATATTAAAAAAAAAGGAAAAAAAAATCACAAATAAAAAAAATAAAAATAAAAATAGAATTAGGAATAAATCTTGCAAATCACAAATTTTAATTCTAATAAAAAGATAAATTAAATACGTACACATAAGATATTATAAATCTGGGTTTCAAAAAAAAAAAATTATAAATCTCACAATTAATTAAGAAGGAAAAAAATTTTAAAAATCACAAATCACAAATGAAAATACAATTAGAATTAGAAATAAATCTCACAAATCATAATTTTAATTTTAATAAAAAGATAAAATTTAAAATATACATCTAACGGGCATTGGCAATACCAAGAGGCATAGTGAACAAGTTTCAAACCTTAGATCTTTAAGGACACATGCTATCTTAGACCTCAATGACCCGTGTATATATAATAATATATTATCTACTTCTATTGAATATTAATTTTGAGGTGCCTTTAATTATACCAATTTTAAAACTATAGGAACTAAATTGCATAAAAATAAAATATAATATAATGACTAAATTACACAAAATCATATAATATATGGATCTTCTAGGTACTTTGACCATTGATGACAAAGATGATTGTTATTTTGTGTGTGTTAGAGGTGTTGAGGTGGATATGTTCGGTTTTAACGATGATTTAAATTTCTAGCAATATTTTAAAAGCAGTATATAATGCAAACTAAACGACAACAAATAATACTTGACTGGTAAAGATTAGGGTTTTTATGGCATAACCATAGAGAAGAGAGCCGTATGTAACAGCACCCCATCAAGAAAAAGAACAGCAAGCTAAGCATTCATCAATTACAGACCAACCAATCTTTTGTTTCCTATCTTAAGAGCTAATATTAAACTGTTGGGAAATAGCTGCAGTACAGTTGCAGAAAGCTAAGTCACATGAACTAACTTTGCTGACAACTGAATGTTTGAGTCTTTCCGGAGTCCATAGCTTGCCAATTCCTGGGAATCATCCAGGGTTTTCCCCTCAAACACCAGCTTCTGCACATGAACTGGCAGCCCCAACGTCTTAAAGATGGCTTCTTTCAGATTTTTAACCGATTCCCATAAGAACACTTGAAAGCATGTGCTTTTCTCACCCCATTTGATGAATATCTGAGTAGCTGGTGGCACGATCTCCAAGATGGACCCATCCACGATGTTATAATATGACACAGTCTTTGAATCCTTCAGCTGCTTTTCTCCAAATGCAAGACTCATCACTGGGTACCCAACTTTGCTCTCAACCACGCTTTTCACGTCCAGAATGGTGTACAACATCCTAAGCTCTGTCACCACAGTTTCTGCCGTTAATGTTTTCACTGAAACCTTCAAGGTATCCCTGGGGTTAGAGATCATGTGAAGAAGCCGCGTAGAATTTGAACCCCCTATGATCTCAAGAAACGCTAGAGTTTTATCCTCTTCCACCGGCTTTCCATTGTAAAACAGAGTGTACTGATCGGAAGGGATGTTTTCTTTGGCCTCGATATATGATTTGACAGTCTTGATGGTGTCTTGAGCTCTCACGTCCACCATTACGGTTCTCTTGGCAGAGGGGATCTTGACAGACAACCTTAATGGCACCGAGTTTTCATCGTAAGCGTTGAGGGTGGTGTTGCCATAGATGCCACAATCAACAAGCCTTTTGTCATTCTCGAGGCGTATGCCGTCCAAGAAGAGGTGTTGGAGGCATTCTTGTATGCCTTCCTCTTGGCTTAACAAGGTTTTCAGTCTGCCAACGGTCTCGGATTTGTTAATCTTTACACTCACAGTTTTAGTAATCCTCAAAGATATGTTTATCTGCCAGGAATTATGTAGCAAATGAGAAGAGAACTTAGAGAGCAGAATCGGCAAAAACATCAGATATGACTTAGCAAGGAATCATCAAATGCGTTATGGAAAGAGTTTACAAATCAAGCCACAAATAATACTATCAAATGATTATCCACAAGATCATCAAATGCGTCAGGTTATTGGTTTGAAAATCACAAGATTATCCACTCCCAATGAGAGTGACCCCGACTCCTTCTTGATTCAAGCTGACCAGCTTAGACAAACTAAAATGATTTAGGTTTTACTGGTTCGGGTCACAATGACAAAGTTTATCCATTGACTATTCAGGCTGCAAATTTCACTATTCACCCAAAAGAATGCTACCAAATCAAAGATGATAGAAAATATGGTACAGAAATTTAATCGAACACAACACCGACACAACTTTCACTCACACAAATACAACTCACTTCACCTTGAATTGGATAATGCAAAACCCTAAACCAAGAATGAACCACTTTCAAAGCTGTTTTCGAATTTGTAAAGATCACAAGAACAAGAAGTGATGTTCTAATCAAGGAAATGAAATCAATTCAACATTACAAATCGATTCAACATTACAAATCGTAATATATATACCTCTTCGCCTTCCTGTTGTGCGGTGGGATTAGAGATCATTTCGTCTGACGCTTCCATGGAAAGAATTCGGAAGAGTACCAATTTCGACACCGTAAGAACTAAAATGCAGTAACAGTCACTGCGTTGAGCGGTCGCTTGATTATTAATTTTCCTTGGAAGTTCGAAACTGGAAAGGCTAACCCTCAAATGGGCACGGATTGTGACGGTTTTTATACTCAAAAGTTTGAACATTTGTTCTGGTTCAATTAATTCAGGTAGGTTCTTTAACCGGTGTGGATATATAGTTCACTAATTCTGGAGGTTCAATTAATTCAGGTAGGTTCTTTAACCGGTGTGGATATATAGTTCACTAATTCTGGATATATAGTTCATTAATTTTTGATATATAGTTCACTGATTCTGGATATATAGTTCACTAATTCTGGATATATAGTTCATTAATTCTGGATATATAGTTCACTAATTCTGAATTTTATAGTCCATTTATTCTGAATATATAGTTCATTCATTCTGAATACACAGACGCAGCGAACTGCCATAAGCCAAAACAGAGTACCAGTAACCGGTGTGGATATATAATTCATTAATTCTGGATATATAGTTCAC